GACCAGGGAGATGACAGTGAACTGGCTTATGACTGAAGGAGAACAAAGATGTTGTAAGCCAATACCTCTGCTTTGCGTGTTTGTGCTTTATCACGAAATGGGTGATAATGATAAGGATGTGTAAGGAGCACCGTGTTAATGATAGTGTCGGTGGAGAGTGTGGACAAAAGCCATGATTGTTGAGCAAAAGCTACAGGTAAATTAAACCCTGGATTTGTTCGGAGTTTAGTTTTTATAGCCATACATTTATGGCTAGTAGAAAGGTTCTTGGTATTGAAATTGCTTTAAGAATAATAATTTCATTGCTTCAAGTGTGAAACTCCCCAGTCACTGATCCCAACTCTTCCCACTAAAGCAGCTGTTTTGAATTATTGTTTTCATGAATGATACCTTTTTATTGCCAAACTGTGTACAGTATGTAACATATGCAGATTATATGCCTGCAACATTTATTAATATGCAGCGCATTGATCACTGTGGCACAGAAACTGTTTGCAGATGGCACAAAGACATTTTAATTTCAATAGTTTATGTTTATTTTAACGCTGACCTTCATTTGGGGTAAGGTTCCCAATTTTCCATTGGTGGTAGTGATGTACAGCTCCCTCTTAAGTGAGGCAGCAGGCTTACATGTGTGGCGCTGGCCACTTTTAAAAGGAAGCTACTTTTAAAATTGGTTACTTTAAAAAGTGAGTCCATTTATAGAATTTATTGAACAATATTGGATAAATAAAAATGCACTGGTCTACTTAGGCTAAGGCAAAAATCATGAAGGTGCTCTGTCAATGACCCAAGTTTTAGAAACAATGGGCTATGTAATAAGAAGATGTAGGCTTTGTGTTGGGTTTGTGACAGTGATGATAGCTACACTGAGCCATCCTAGTGACCAGTGCCACATGTGTAAGGCTGCTGCCTGATGCCCCAGGAGTGTGCCTTCCACGTGACACTAATTGGCCCACACAGGAGAGAAACCATGACCTTGTCCTCATTAGCCACATGCTCAGACCAGCTGAGCTAGCTCACTCTGGGTCACTAGAGTCCCATGTAGGAAATTACCATTCCAGTGCCCTGTGGCCCCCTTGTAACCCCAACTAATGAATGTCCTGTGGAGCCTAATGTCATTCCTAGGGGAGCGCACAGCAGTGTGCAATCCCCGCAGTGGAGAAGTTGATAGCATTCTGAAGTTTTAACCCAGGGAAAGCCAACTGAGGAAGCATGGAGAACTCAGGAAGCCTAGAAACAACGTTTCAGACACCTGCGTGCTGGGAAAAAAGGAGGAAGACATCCTACGCTGTCCGTCTCTGTCTCAGGACACAGAATGGAAGCACAGGAAAGTTAAGAAAGCCGTCGAGCATTGCACAGCATGTTCATCAAGCATGAACAGTATTAGGTGACTGCTGTATGGGCTCAGCACTTTATACCAACAAACCTATGAAGCAGGTGGTATTATCCCTGTCAGTGGTATTACCCTCAGGAGTTTCCTGAGGTAGTAAGTGAGAGAGCTGAGGACTGCCATCCTATGGAAATTAATACAAGTCGAAGGGCAATTTTATGAGCTGAACAGACAGCTTGCCAAACCTTTTGACTTATGCCTCCTTTAGCTCTCAGGAGAAAGATACAGTCCTTCAAGTAAGATATACATGTATATAACAGAAAATATATATACACATAAATATATATTTATTTTTCCCTGTAGCTTAGGCACTTCCATAGTTTAGCCTTGAGAAGAGTTTCTTTAATTAGATGATTTTGTAGTCAAGGCTGAGACAAAGCATCCTTCCCAAATGTTGGGGAATACTGGAAAGGGATGGTGAACTTTCTCAATGCATACTGAAGAACTGGGAAGACCACCAGTCACTCCATCTTTTTTTCAACAAGACTACGGGATCAATATCCCTTCCAGGACCAAACTAACTAGTGGGCAAAGGCTTCCTACCACGCACTTGGCAGCCACTCTTCCTAGAGCCACTTGCCTGCTGCCTCTGGGGGTGCCTACCTCCCTGGTTCTCTCTAGAAGCCAGGAATCCCTGAGTGCATGTGCCCACTCCCAGCCAAACAGCAGCATGAATCAGAAGGGATTAGACACTTGCAGTAACCACCACGCTGCATTTTATTTTATTTTCCAAGATGGAGTCTTGCTCTGTCACCCAGGCTAGAGTACAGAGGTACAATCTCAGCTCACTGCAACCTCCAATTCCTGAGTTCAGGCAATTCTCCTGCCTCAGCCTCCTGAGTAGCTGGGACTACAGGCCCAAGCCAACAGGCTCAGCATTTTTTTTTTTTTTTTTTGTATTTTTAAAGTAGAGATGGGGTTTCACCATGTTGGTCAGGCTGGCCTCGAACTCCTAACCTTGTGATCCACCTGCCTCAGCCTCCCAAAGTGCTAGGATTACAGGCATAAGCCACCGCACCTGGCCACACTGCATTTTAATTCAGTTCTCTGATTTTTGTTTAGCTTAGGGAAAAGGCTAGCTTACTCTCAAATTTTTCTGGTTAATGTCTGAGAAATTTAATATTTTGAAGGTGCAATTGGCTGGCAATAAACCTAACTGTCAGTGAGACCTAGATAGAACCCTCAATTCCCTATTTATTAGCAGAGAGACACTGGCAAGCTACATAACCTCTCTGAGCTTTCGTTTCCTCACATATATCAAGGGGATAGTCTTCCTCTCATGGGGTATCTGAACAAGGTAGCACATGTAATATGCTTAATGCAGGGCTGAAATGTTATCAACTGACAGTATCTCTTATTGCGTGATCTGTTTTTTGCCCCTTCACACAGCGTGACTGAGTGAAATGTAGTACACGTTGCCAAGGATCGAAATGGCTCTTGGTTGTAGTTATACATGTGAAGACCGGTATCTGTTATCTCACATACTGTATTTCTCTTCACCACAGGAACAAACTGCTGAAAAATTAAGCTTGAAGTAGAGAGGGAACAGCTTTTTGAAGGTCTTGACGTGATGTGCAAGGAGCCTGACTAGCATTGCCCACCCCACCCCGTTTGCCCCCCAATCTCAACCTAAAACAGGCTTTCCTCTGTTTATTATAAAGTTCTCTCTGACTCAAGAGTATATTTGCTTACGATCTTGGAGCAGAGGCTCAATTCTGGCCGTAGAATCATAAGAGAGCTGCAACCTTTCTCACAAATGGGTTTTCAGGCAACACTGTGTAGAAGTGAATTGTTTCAAAGTGAGACGGTTGCTGAGAAACAAGGGCTTTAAGAGAGATTTCCCAGGGCAATCCCTTGCCAGCAGGTGGGAAGACGCTGGATGGAGTTGACAGTTTCTGAAGTCAGGAGTCCCAGGATGGAAGAGGAGTGAGAGAGCCCCTAAAACAGCAGACACTGAGAAATCCCTCTTCACCACTCTTCCCCAAGCACATTCACTACCTGAACACCATCAGTCAGGCTTCCCGAGCTTCGACTTAGGTAAATTCAATATTGAAAGGAAACGTTTATATTGCCACTTGGGTTGATTATAGCTTGTTTTTCCTTAATTAACTCAGTCCCGACTGGTGAGCATTTAATGATAAAATTGTAGCAGTGACTGGAGACCTAGAGACTCAGGTCCTTCTGGGACCTCAAGGTAAGCAGTTTTCTTTAACCCACTGCCACCTAGTGGTAATGGAGCAGACTGAAAAACGCTTCCTCTATATCCAAGGAGAGAATGGTTGGCAGTTTTCTCCTTGCCACTCCTATCTTGGAAGCACAGGGAGAGTGATCGATGTGTCTCTTTCTACTGGCCTCCACTCCCTGCCAACACTTAACTGTCACTGTATATTTACAATGTCAAGCTAGCTGACTCTTCCGCAATTATTTTGATTAATGAGGATTCTCATTTAATCAGAAGTATCTGAGATTCAAAACAAGCAAGGATCAGATATAGAACACATGGGTCTTACCTCCCTCTCCACTGCAGCAGTTAGAAATTTCATGTGTGTCAGCTGGGCTCAAGTTAATGGATCCTTTAAAGTGAGCAACTGGGTCTTGACAGTTAACTTGCGGTTTTCCCCTCCAAGAATAAATGTGACTTTTATTGTCTGCCTTACCAGGTGATTCACTTCTGGAAGCACACAGAAGAGATCAAGTAATCAATGTGGCAGCTCAGCTTCCTGTACATGCACAGTGGAAAGCTGGTGGCAAATTCAAATATTTTTGGACAAACGTGAAGATCAATTTGCCAAATGTGGTAAAACACTTGGAAGAGAGCAGAATGGATGGTGATTTCAGCAGATTGTGAAGAGAATGGACTAATGCCAATGAGCTATTAGGCAGAATAAATTCACAGGGCAATTACCACTGCTTGCAGCTTAGAAGAGATAATTCAGAAGTTCCTTTCCTAAGCATGAACTTCAAGTATACTTGAAAAAAAAGCTACTTCAAGAGTGGTGATTTATTTTTTGAGACGGAGCCTTGTTCTATCACCAAGGCTGGATGGCACAATCGCAGCTCACTGAAACCTCCACCTCCCTGGTTCAAGTGATTTTCCTGCCTCAGCCTCCCGAGTAGCTGGGACTATAGGCATGTGCCACCACACCCGGCTGTTTTTGTTTGTTTGCTTTTTGAGACAGAGTCTTGCTCTGCGGCCCAAGCTGGGGTGCAGTGGCATGACCTCAGCTCACTGCAACCTCTGCCTCCCAGGTTCAAGCGATCCTCCTGCCTCAGCCTCTTAAGCAGCTGGGATTACAGGCACCCACCACCATGCCTGGCTAATTTTTGTATTTTTTGTAGAGACGGGGTGTTTCACCATGTTGGCCAGGCTAGTCTTGAACTCCCTGGTGATCCACCCGCCTCAGCCTCCCAAAGTGCTGGGATCCACTGTGCCTGGCAAGAGTGGTGATTTAGATGTGTGTGCTTTGGTAAAGAAAAGGTACAAGGTTACAATAATGCAAATGCATAAGGCTTCAGATGTTTTAGCTTTCTAGACAAGTGTCTTGACTTGGTAACAGACTCCCCTGCCTCCTGTCTGCCACCCCCCAAAATCAGCAGACAAAGCAGCCAGGATATGAATACAGTTTATTACAGTTTTCAGACTCCCATACAACACATATCTAAAGCTGAACATTGCAAACTGACGTTACTAGCAGCAATCCTCCCTAGATAGGAAGGGTTTCAGTTAATTTAACAATTAGGAGTAATTTAAAGACAAACTTACAAGTCATGGTTTTTCTTGTAGCAGCTGGTATATGAGCAATGAAACTAGAGATATATAGAGTCATTCAGGTTTAGCCTTGTCTAAAACAAACATTAATAAGTTATGGTGCAGAGGGGTATCCCCAGGGTTGCCATAGAGAAGGCTGATGTCTTTAGATGTCAGTATGAAATAAGCAAATCACTTTCAAGACATGGCTTACTATTTCCTTTACTGCCAGGACAACAGAAGAGAAGTGGACAGCTACCCTAGATTCTCGCCCACACATAATTCAGCCAGATCATCATCATTTAAGTAATACCCCTTAAAATTTTTCACACTTTTTTTCACAGCTCTAAAAACACAACATCAGACATCAGACATTTGTTCCAAAGGACTAAAAATCAAAAGCAATAGCAATGTATTGGAAGTCACTTTTATGGCTTTCCTAAGGGAGAATCCCCATCTTTTCAGGGAGTGTTTTTAAAGAAGCACTAACTCTGGTAGGTTATCAAACTACTTTTTATTCTAACTAAATAAAAGCCCAACTGAAGGTCTCAGGTGTACTTGTTTTTCTTCCCCTAGATCTTCAAACCATCCAAAGCCAATTCTTGAGAGCTTTCATTTTTATTAGAGCAGTGCAAGATAACTTACAAACATTTGAAAAATACTCAAAACACTGAGAGTATAAAAGAGGTCCAACCCTTCCTCAGAGCCCAGAAAACTGACAGGAACCCCAAAGGCTTATCTTAAATCCATCAGCTCAATTTGCTGACAGACCACCCAGCTTTGCAACACAGGGCCCAGGATTCTTGCATTTACAACCACTAAGAAAAGCCTTCTGGGAGGAGAAAAGCACAGACTGGTGAACATAAGTTACTGAGAAAAAGGGTTGACTGTATTCTATATCTGGCACAGGAAAGGAAAAATTCAAACAGCTGTGAAACCATTATATTTACACCATGATACTCTTACATGGACCTTGACTTTCCTACCTCAACAGTTTCATTCATAAAAAATACATAAAAGATTGGAAAGCATTGGGGTAGCACCAGTGACAGCTAGCTGTCATTGAATAGTTTTATTTTTTTCCTAAAGTCAAAATTCAGAGAAATTTTTATTTTTATTTATTTTTTTAGATGGAATCTCGCTCTGTCGCCCAGGCTGGAGTGCAGTGGTACAATCTCAGGTCACTGCAACCTCCGCCTCCCGAGTTCAAGTGATTCTCCTGCCTCAGCCTCCTGAGTAGCTGGGACTATAGGCACATGTCGCCATACCTGGCTAATTTTTTGTATTTTTAGTAGAGATAGGGTTTCACCGTGGTACCCAGGATGGTCTCGATTACCTGACCTCGTGATCCGCCCACCATGGCCTCCCAACGTGCTGGGATTACAGGCATGAGCCACTGTGCCTGGCCAATTTAGAGAAAATTTAAAGAAGCAATTTATAGAACTGATTCTATTTCATGATTTTGCCTTAATCAGCTGCTATGGAAATGGTGCAAGCAGAAATATAAATATCCATTCTGCATCAAGTGAGTTTCTATTTCTTTTTTCTCGAAGGGTAGAAGGAAGTGGTACATTTCAATTTTTGTAAGGCTTCTGAGGATTAAGGGCAGCTCATAGCTTATGACTTGACAATCTCTAAAGGAGCTCCTGGACTTTTTCACCGAGAGGATAGATGAAGCCACTCCTTATCCACAACTCATAGCAAGGATCTCTATGCATCTAGATTTTAATGCAACAGCTTCTTGGCTTCCTGACTTGACATACATCATGCACAAAGAGCAAGGTACTGACTGGTCAAAAGCCACTCTTCCCAGACGCTGATCACTCTGGCTAACCATCTCACAGACAGCCTGCATCTGGTCATAAGACGGTCCCTGGAAGGAAGCGTAAACACTTCCCAAATGCTAGGACAGACAGCCTAACGTGCAAGTTCTACTAATGGTAGAGTAAAAGAATCACCTCTGTGTACAAAAATGGCACACGAAACTGTTCTGAACATAAAACTGTATCTCCCCTTTCTCAATCACTTGTTACCATTTAACAGAGGTGAATACTCCTGAAAAGACCTCACCAAGTACATTAAGTATGTCCTGTGAACTATCTTGAAAACATATTCCCGTGTTTAAAGATTACTTTGAAGAACCAAAGTTGAATGTTTAAAAATAAATACACTTCTTACCAAGTTTCCCAAGCCTGAATCCCTGGAGAATACTACAAACCAGTTTTGTTGCATTTTAGCTGCACAGTGCCCCTCAGGTGAGCTGGTGGGAGTTTCTGGACTCCGCCATTACTTTCCTAATTTTCTTTCCTTCTCCTGAGGAAGACTTCAGTTATTTCCATAGCAACTTATGATAATGTCCTAAATGTTCACATTTTTTGGGTAGCACATATATTGTTAGGACCTATTTTTTTCTTTCTTTTAAACAATATCTTCAATGATAAAGAAAAGGGAGCCAGGTGCGATGGCTCACATCTGTAATCCCAGCACTTTGGGAAGCCAAGGCAGGTGGATCACCTGAGGTCAGGACTTTGAGACCAGCCTGGTCAACATGGTGAAACCCAGTCTCTACTAAGAACACAAAAAATTAGCCAGGCATGGTGGCAGGCACCTGTAATCCCAGCTACTGAGGAGGCTGAGGCAGAAGAATCACTTGAACCTGGGAGGCAGAGGTTGCAGTGAGCCAAGATCAAACTGCACTCCAGTCTGGGCAACAAGAGTGAAAATCTATCTCAAAAAGAAAAAAAAGAAAAAGGGCCAGGCGCAGTGGCTTACACCTATAATCCCAGCACTTTGGGAGGTCAAGGCAGATGGATCACCTGAGGTCGGCAGTTCAAGACCAGCCTGACCAACATGGAGAGACCCCCACCTCTACTAAAAATACAAAATTAGCCAGGCATAGTGACGCATGCCTGTAATCCCAGCTACTTGGAGGCTGAAGCAGGAGAATCACGTGAACCCGGGAGGCAGAGGTTGCAGTGAGCCTAGATTGCACCATTGCACTCCAGCCTAGGCAACAAGAATGAAAACTCCATCTCAAAAAAAAAAAAAGAAAAAAAGAAAAGAAAAGAAAAAGGGTACAATCTTTAAAAGAAAAATTCTGTTAAAAAATAATTATCATGCTTTATACAAAATAGCACATTTATTAGACAGAATTCATTCCAGAACCACTGTTCAGATCCAACAAATAAATGGGAACACACAGCACATAAAACAAATCATACACAGTTTAAAACATAATTTTCATAGCCAGAATTGTCATGTTGGGCAGAAAATAGTAAATCAATCCTTATACGGCTATATGAAAATTATATGTAAACATAAAAACAGGCATATGTTTAAAATAAATCAGGTTAGATTTAACTAGGCACTGGAATGAATGAAAACTGATTATATTCCTTTTGATTCCAAATTTCTATCTTACTGGGAAAATAAAAGTACATCATTCTAGCTGAGGAATGAGAGGGCAGGCAGATGAGGATAGCCACAGGGGTATACGCAATGTTGCCTGATGATTAAACAAGACAACTATTTTGGGAACTGAGATTTCAGATACACGACTTAGAATTTAGACTGGCAGATTCCAAAGATTAAACTTTAGTGCATCTGATCTGGCTCTAGAGTATACTTTACAATGCATTTAAAAATAAAAACAAGTAAACAAACATCCACAGATTTCCCTTTGGGGATATGTCATTTTTAGATGCTCATTCTCCATTTGGTGCTATCATAAAAACCCCTTGAAAAGTTTAGGGGATTCTTTCTGACAATGATCAGAAAAGGGTGAGACCTTGGATATAGCAGGAGCAGCAAAAAAAAGGTTACTGTCCTCTTACTGAAGATACTCTTCTGAGAACTTCCACTGTCCCTTAGGAAGAAGGTACGGAATATGGAACAGTTCCAGAAGGTATTGCTGCTTCTGAAGATAGTTACAACAGGGCCATAACTATGACACCTAAGATTACTTTTTTATGTTGCACCTGCCTGGCTCATAAGACACAGAATTCTTACAAAGCTATGAAATAGAGTCAGGAAAAATTACTCATGGCACTTAAACATGTTCAGAGACTGTAAAATGCCTTCCTTTATTTTTTTGTCTCAATGCCCCTGTGAGGTAGGTGTCTGTGGGGAAAAAGCTGAGGCACGGAGGGGTTAAGTCTGCTCACCTTTCATTGCACGATGAGCCAGTGGTCCAGCCAGCAGAAGGACCAGGTGTCCCAGCTCCCTAAACTTTATTCACCCTGCTTCTCAGAAGGCTTATTTATGTTACACAACAAATACAGCAGGGGAACGTTTTCTTTTCATACATTGTAACTAGTTGGCTATTTCTTATTCTCACCTTGAACAAAAGTTATCTCAGATAAAACCAAATAAAAACAAAACAAAAAAATCAATATTGCCTAACAGTCTGTGTCAAGATGCAGCTATTCTGCACTAATGATTGAAAAGCATAGAATATGATTCAAGTAGAAGTATTTGTAGGTGCTGTGGTGTTCCTGTTACTCAAGCCAGGCTGTGAGTAAAGTGTCCCTTTAGACACTACCCACTGTACTTTGTAAGAACTTCTTTGGCCTGACACAGGGAATAAATCTACCACCCCTGTTTCGTGGTAAAACCATATTCTGAAAGATATTGTACACAAGGCTGGCCCTGCCTGGAAAGGGGACTCTCGGCCGTGCGATGTGTATTACTGAGTTCATGAACTCTTTGAAGATGGACATGAAGGTTACAGTCTCCTGACATAAAGCTCACAGGACAGTTCACACTACGGACAGAGAGCCAACACCACAGGGTACATGCGCTAGCACCATGCCACAGAAGTCAGAGAGAAGGACAAGCCACCACACAGGAATCTTAGAGTCCCATCTGGTATGCCATTTGCAGAGGCTACCTCTGGTAAGGGGAAGACTGAGGAAGTCCTATACTCCTTTCCATCATAAGAAGGATCAGAAGAGAGCACTCATTTGGCTTCTTTGAGCATAACACCTATCCAAATTTCACCCCTACATAAGCTGGTAACTTTCCTAATCTTGTAGATATTCAAAGATAATACATTTCATTTATTCATCAAGAGAGAAACATGTTGGGCAAAATTCAAAGGTTAGAAGATGTGGATGCAGAGCTTCAAGCCGATTTACACCGCTTCTCTTAGAATCGAATTCATGAGTACTCAGGGCACTAGCTTTTGGACATGCAATACTTCTTTTTGAGACTATTTTTTCCCCTATAGTCTCTGAAAAGTAAATTGTACTCATATTGCCACCCCTAATGGAAGATCAGCTATTTGGTTTCAGGGTCTGAAGTAAATCAGGACACCAAATCGAATGCATGTATCTATGTATGCTTTTTGCCTTGATATTAATGCATACACCTGCCCTCCCAAGGCCTGTTCTCCCCTTAAGCTCACCTTCCAGAGGGCTGAGCCTGCTCTGTCCTCTGCATAGGCAGGACCAGAGGGAATCATTCCAACTCAGAGTTTCACTGGGATACTAGGATACAGCAGCAATTCATGCACTTTATTTCTAAAAACCAAAGCTCAGGCTGAGCTATTCACTGTGCAAGATGAACCAGCAGGACATTCTCGCCTCGAATGAAAATCTGATTTATGTGTCGAGTGAATACCTGCTGGTAATCCACTTTGGGCTTTCGCTTTTTCTTACGGGACTGGCTTCTGGAAAGGGTGGTAGCCCTGGAAAAGGTACCTCCCACACTGGAGCCTTCTGTCCGTGTAGTCCTCCCTGACAGCTCTGACCTGGACTCCTCCCTTGCAGAGGCCTGCAGGGAAGAAGGGACAGAGCGGGAACGCTTGTGTGAGCCCCGGTCAGTGTCTCCTCTTCCCCACACTGAAGCCAACTTCCAAGTGGATGTCTGTGAGTATTTGGACAGAGTGGAATCTTCAACTGCAGACTTAGAATCTGCTTCCTTCTTGGAGGAATCTTGAAGTTTCAGCCGATCAAATAGCTATAAAGAAAACAATGATAAATATTAGCCTTCAACACCCTCTTTCAACATGCAGAAAAAGACCAAATTCTTTAATTATGTTCTGTGGACTCCTTACTTTGCAAGTGTTTTTTTTTTTTATTGTTGTTGTTTTTTGGAGACGGAGTCTCGCTCTGTTGCCAGGCTGGAGTACAGTGGTGCAATCTTGGCTCACTGCAACTTACGCCTCCTGGGTTCAAGTGATTCTCCTGCCTCAGCCTCCCGAGTAGCTGGGATTACAGGCACATGCCACCACGCCCAGCTAATTTTTTTTTTGTATTTTTAGTAGAGATGAGGTTTCACCATACTGGCCAGGATGGTCTCGATCTCTTGACCTTGTGATCCTCCCGCCTTGGCCTCCCAAAGTGCTGGGATTACAGGTGTGAGCCACTGTACCCAGCCTGCTTTGCAATTTTTTTAAAGTTAGTAATAAATTTCCTATTTCTAGCCATAATGCAGATAATACATATGTAAAGTGAAAAGGCTTATTTTTGTGGTATAAAACTGAAAGACTTTTAAGTGTTGTAAGAAACAACTTGCTGCTCAAATAATATGCAGGTTACAAGTACAAACTCATTTGAGATTTGCTGGAAGCATGAAAATAGAGACTAATGAAGACCTTGGTACAGGCACAGCTGTTTTATAGCAACAGAGATTTCCCTCTAGGAAATCCTAGTCACTGGGCTCAGGGATCCTAATTCCTAAGCATGATGGCTACTCAGGAGGTCAGGGGGAAACTGCCTACCCTAGTGAGAGTCAGTGAAGAATCGCGTTCATACGCTTTGCCTAGGACAGGTTTTCGGTAGGTCTCGTCGACATCAGTAAGTGCCTAGAGGAACAGCCCAAAAGGGAAAAAAAATGAGACAGAATTAAACATATTATTTGTATAGCTTTTTTAGGGTTAAAAAAAGGGGGCAGAATAACATCTATTCAGAGCGGAACTAAACTTAACAGCTGACTCTTGGGCAGAAGAAAACAGTGACAACCTGGTACCTTCCATGTTATTTTGAAGCTGCTAGCACCATGTAAGATGGGTTTCTCCTAGGAATGGTAAGGGCCTAGAGGACTGCATGGTAGAAGCTCTTAAATTTCAGTGTGCAAGAATATCTAGGAAGTTTATTAAAATACAAACCCAAGGCTATTCTGCTGGAGACTCTGTTTGGGTAGGTCTGGGATGAAGCCCAGGAACCTTTTGCTTTGACCAGAAACCCCAGGTGATTCTGGTGCAGGACGGCTTTAGACCACGCTCTGAGGAACACTACTGCTTCTTTACCCTCCTCAGTTTCTATGTCTTATGAAAGCAATTAACAGAAATTAACTAGGGTTACACACAGAATTACTGGTGAGTTCTCATCACTGAAAGCAACCTCACAGGACAGCTGTTAGGACCAAATGAGATATGTAAGATAAATTCCTTTGAAAAATATCAATCACCCTACAAATACAATCTGACCGTATTGTTATAATCACCACTATCGTCTAGTACATTCTCTTCAATTCTTTCCTTTGAAGGTAAAATTATCATAATAAAACATTTTCCCCTACATTTTGGAAATGAGAAAACTGAGGCTCAGAGAAATTATCTTGCTTAAGTCACATAGTTACCAAGTGGTGAAGCTAGGACTCAAATACTAGTCTAGGATTTTAAGCTAGGATTCAAATTACATAATGGTTGAAAACATGGTTTTAGGAGTTACAAAAAGACTGAGGAAAAAGTTTGATACTTCCACTTACTAACTGTGATCTGGGACCAATATTCCAGTCTCTCTAGACTCAATTTCTTCATTTGTGAAACGGAACATGATAATACCCACAAGTCATTCACTGAGATAATATATAAAGCCCTCAGGATAGTACCTGGCACATAGCAGGTACTCAATATATGTTAACAACTATTGTTCTTAACCAGGAAGTTGGGGATAAAGCGCAGGGAAAGGGAAAGTTGGAGATAGAAGACCATATGGAAAAGAAACGCCAGAAAGTTCTGGTGTTTTGTTTTGTTTTTTGAGATAGAGTCTTGCTCTGTCACCCAGGCTGGAATGCAGTGGCACGAGCTTAGCTCACTGCAACCTCCGCCTCCTGGCTTTGAGAGGTTCTCCTGCCTCAGCCTCCTGAGTAGCTGGATTACAGGCATGCAGCACCAGTCCCAGCTAATTTTTGTATTTTTAGTAGAGATACGGTTTCACTATGTTGGCCAGGCTGGTCTCAAACTCCTGACCTCAGGTGATCTGCCTGCCTCAATCTTCCAAGGTACTGGGATTACAGGCATGAGCCACTGGGCCCAACCTAGTGGTTCTTAACTACCTCAAATTATATTTGTGCTGTTACATATCCCTTCTCTCCTACAAATGTCTAGAAAAGAGACAGACCACTACGCGTCTGGGCATAGTGGCTCATGCCTGTAATCCCAGCACTTTGGGAGGCAGAGACAGATGGATCACCTGATGTCAGGAGTTCAAGACCAGCCTGGCAAACATGGCGAAACTCCGCCTCTACTAAAAAAATAAAAATCAGCTGGGCATGGTGGCACATGCCTGTAATCCCAGATACTCGAGAGACGGAGATTGCAGTGAGCCGAGATTGCGCCACTGTGCTCCAGCCCGGGTGACAAGAGCAAAACTTCTTCTCGAAGAAACAAAACAAAAAACCCACCATGCAAAATGCTTTGCTTATTGATGTCTGCTTCATCTCTATCCTTATTTACCTTCCCAGGACTGTAGAGTGAAAGTTCCTTTCTGAAACTTTTGCACCTAGCATGGGGTTCAACCAAAGTGGGAAATCAATAAATGTTTTTAAATTAATGAAAGAACGGTTGGTAGGAAATCAGCTTAAAATTACTAAACTGATAAATAATTGGTCCTTAAGGCTGGGTTTCTCCACCTTGGCACTAATGACTTTCGGATTGAATAATTCTTTGTTGTTGAAGGACTATCTTGCGTATTGTAGACTGTTGAGCAGCAACCCTGGCCTCCACCTATTAGATGTAATACCCTCTCCTAAAGTGGTGACAATAAAGTGTCCCCAGACATTGACAAATGTTCCTGGAAGTGAAGGAAGAACAAAATACCCCAGCTAAGAGCCACTGCCTGGAGAAGGAAGCAATGAAGAGGCCTTTATTTGTTGTTGCCCAAAAGTATGCCAAAATTCTAGTTCTTCTGAGAATTTATTTTTTGGGTTTTATTTAATTCGGTTACTCAGGTCCTTTAAATATATAGATGTAATCTGTAAGAGGTTCTCCAGCCCCTTGAGAAAGGCTTAATTACCATATTCCAGAACTTGTCAAATGCAACAAGGAAGCCTGTACAGACGCCCCGAAGTCCCTTGAAAGTGCGGATGTGAACATTCACCTTCACCCCCTCCCGGATACAGCGATGGAGTTCACCCAGAGGGCTGCCTTCATGCACTGAAACAAGAAAAGAACAGTCAGGACACTGATGTATGAACACCTGCCCTAATTCCCAGAATTAACAGCCAAGACCACCCAACTTCAGCTAGCAATATGAGGCCACATGGTGGAATGACAACCTTACTATTGGAACAGGAAGGTCCAATGGGCAACATGGCTCATATGGCCAACACACACTGAAACGAGACTAGATTCCAATAGAATGTGGATAAACCATATGTATGGATATCAGCCAAATGTTTCACTACCGGAATATCTTTTATTCCGTGATGTCACTAATTCTAAGATGTACTATCATTTAAAAACTTTTTGGGTTGGCCAGGCACAGTGGCTCACACCTGTAATCCCAGCATTTGGGACGCTGAGGTGAGCGATCACCTGAGGTCAGAAGTTCAAGATCAGCCTGGCCACATGGTGAATATTCCCCCTACTAAAAATATAAAAATTATCGGGGCATGGTGGCCCATGACTATAATCCCAGCTACTCAGGAGGCTGAGGTTATAGTAAGCTGAGATCCTGCCATTGCATTCCCGCCTGGGTGGCAGAGGGTGACTCTGTCTTTAAAAGAAAAAAAAAACTTTTTTGGGAAAAAAACCCACACACATTAAATGTATACATTAACAGCCAAGATTCTTCTCAATTCTGTGCCTTAAGACAACTCATGAATCACATATCCAGCTTGAGTCTTCCAAAAAACCAAAAACCTTGTTCACATGTTCAAAGGAAACAAACTGTGCACTCTGCCCTTAAACATGTGCAATCCTGTTAGAAAGAAAGGCCTCGGACCCCACCAAAGCTACTCCATGCACAAGCTCTCTGGGGTCACTAGTGTTTCTGGGAGGAAAAGCACTGGTTGGAGCCCAAGCCCTGATGGTGTAAAAGGTACCTGCTGAGTATCTGGCTCCTAGAACACTACTAATAAGCATCATGTGAAAAGAGCAGGAAAATGACTCATGGGAATATTGGGACTATACATTTCAGCATTTATTATGAAGGATTCTATTCTCAGAGTGTGGGAGGAAAGATGAATTTTTATTATTTCATGTTAATTTCTCTCTCACAATATGCTGGCTTATGGTATATAAAATCTCCCAAAAGAAAACCATACACATTCTTTTTTCCTGAGACAGGGTCTCACTGTGTCACCCAGGCTAGAGTGCAGTGGTACGATCATGCTCACTACAGCCTTGACATGCCCAGTTCCAGAGATTCTCCTACCTCAGCCTACTGAGTAGCTGGGACTACAGGCACGTACCACGCCCCACTAATCTCTCTCTTTCTCATGTGCACACAGTGTTGGTCTTTCCCAAGTTTGCAAGGCAAAATTCTGTAGAAAGTTTTTTTTTTAATCAAGTCTTAGCAGTCTGGTATTGAGAATATTTGCCATTACCAGTAAACAAATAAAAAAGCTCTCCTGCTTTGTTTCTAGTGGCATAAAGGAGAACAACAGCCCTACACTTCCTTTTGGATAACTAAATTGGTTCTTCCTGAGGTCACCTTATCCCTCTGTCATGAAATGACTTATAAACGATGACTGGGATAAATTAATAAAAGATTCTTAGAAGAAAATCACTTAGCAGATGAACAAGAGGAGTTTATGTCATATTAAAGGTGTGGCAATAAGCCGGAGTTGGAAGCAACACGAAACACTGACCGTGGAAAAGACCATGAGAACCTTGGTCTGACCATTATCATTTACCTCTTTTCTAGCAGTATTTTAAAGTCCTTTGTACATTTGCTAGCTAAGGGTGTGTGTGTCTGTGTATGTGTATGTGTGTGTCTGTGTTTGTTATAGGACATATTAAATCAAATACTGTAAACAACTTTCAGGTCATTACAACTAGTTTTGTGACCCTGGTGAATAACTTTTTCTTTAAGGTCCAAATTTCCTCATTCATAAAACGAGGTTAAAATAGTTAACTTGTAGATTTCAGGACTAAGTCTCAATAATTCAATTTCTTAGAAACTGATCATATGCCTGCATTATTTCCTTTCCTACACATACATATATACTGCCCTCGCCCTACAGATGTGTATGTTTACATAAAGAATGGAAAGACTATTCTTTTTCTAACTTGGAGGAAAACAGGGACATTACTTCTTTCCCACACATCTAAAACAGAAAGGGCAAGCAGGTATCTTAGCAATAGTCTCTTATGCCAGTTAAATAGATGCCAATTCAGGTCTTTCAATTGGTCTTTCTCAAATATGTACCTTGAATTTTTTTCTTCCAAAGATTTAATAAGGTACAATTCCAGGGAGCACTGCTCTCCTTGGATCCTTGTGTGATCAAAAGTACTACCTACTGGAGCAAACCACCAAGGCAAACTGAAAGAGAGTGCACATTCTCTTTCCAGCCATCTCTGTGGCAAGCTCCAAATGGATACAAGTCAGGTTTCTATAACAAAATATGACAAAAAAAGCGTATGCCTTATCCTTGGAGAAAGTTACTCTTTCAATCCCCTTCTCTGCTGCCACATCCTTCCAAATCCAGGTCATTTTCAGCTCTACTCTTCCTTCTCCTGCTACATGTAAATTATACCATAGTAGCCTGACTTTAAAATAACTGTCCTCAATCATGCCCTTCTTTAAAGACCTAAAACTTACCTCTTACAGGAACTCCTGTTTTCTTTAGAAAGAAATATTTAATAGGAATGTATGAATAGAAGCCGTGTCTGTGTCTCTGGTGGCGGCAAAACAAGATGGTGGATCCCCGTGCCATGATCCCCAGATGCGGGGCTTATATACCATAGGGAAAGGCTGATTCAGAAGGGATGTGTAGGACAACTCAAGTAAGAGAACATCAAGGTTGTTCTGACAGAAGGACAGGATTTACAGTACATGCTCTTACACAAGGAACAACAGATAAATTAGAAATCTTAGAGGCCTTCCCAGAACTGGGTTTACTCAGAAGTCAATATGGTGGATTGACATTCAAGATGGAGTTGCTTTACCCTTCACCACCTAGTCAAAAAAAAATTTTTTTAAGGATAAAACTATATCTACATATATATCTTCAAATATACAAAGTTATTAGCTCATTAGGGCATAGGCAGCTCACCAGATTCTAAAACCTACCAAGGGCCCAGAGAAATGAAACCACTTAACTGTTGCAATCACCTTATGAGTCTGCAATGGGAAAGTATCTTTTCTTTTTTCTGAAAACAGTTTTAGTTGCCATTCTATAGAAGGGTGCCATGACAGGTTGAAGGCACAATGTTTGAATCAGTGACCAAGCAAAGGCACACCGGTGTCTCCTCTATTGTGATGCTATGTTAAACACACACACAGACACAGAGCAGTGTGGTGCAGAAATCATCTGAGACTGTTCCTTAGTTGCACTGGAGATAGCTGCAATGAGCTAAGAAAAGTGACGAGGCTGAATCTGAACCTCGGCCTTTTTTGAAGCGTAAGTCCCCCTGTTCTTGGTTTTATGTAAGTCATACTCATGCCCTTTTGGCAACATCTGTGTCACAGAGATGCTGTTCAAAATTGAGAGTTCATTTTACTGCTAGATACAGGGCTCATATGTTCTTGATTCTGCCTATTTTCTTGCTCTTTATTTACAGGTAGTAAAATATAAGTTACCCAAAGAATATCACTTTATTAAAATAAAAACATCAAGAAACCATATTGTGAGAAATTATTTCAGCAATTAAACTACAACAACAGCACTCTAACAAATTTTCAATCATGATATCATGTCAGAGGCCCAATAAATCAGGTTTGTTTTGAAATCCTTCTCAGCATGATGTGTGCGAGTAAAAGGACTGTGTAGGCTCCCCGCAGGAGAACTGAATTTGGAACTGGAGACAAGCCATTCACCTAGAGAATGGTCTAGGAGCCAAACCCTGCATGTCACATGCCTTTTGGATTGACCACACCCACTTGTTCACACCAGCACATGCTACACACCAACATACCCCTAACTAAAACAAAGTAATTATAACACTTTTTCTTACAGCTTTATAATGTCAGGACGTGAGCTTGAACACACCAGTTCATTTCACAGTGAAAGATACAGCTAGAAAAAGCTTACTTGAAGCATAATTATAAACCCACAGAGCCACTGTGGGCCAGGCATGGTGCTGTGATACTAAGGGGAAATATAGACACTAGAATTGTGTGGAAAAGAGGATAATGCTCTTTAGTCTTGTCTTCCTGTCTCTATAGGCACCTCAATATTAAAACCGAGGAAAAGCAATTACATTCCACTTGCAAGTAGAGCTTGTGCTTGAATTCTTTAGCAGGAGAAAATGTGGTATTAACAATGGCTTAGGCTTAATGATTATGAAAACCTTTCCTCCTATGTTTTTTTTTCTTTAATATTCTGAGTATTCCAACAGCCTCCTATACTTTTATTTATTTATTTATTTTTCTTTTTTTTTGAGACAGAGTTCCGTTCTGTGACGCAGGCTGGAGTGCAGTGGTGTGATCTCAGCTCACTGCAGCTTCCACCTCCAGGGTTCAAGCGATTCTCGTGCCTCAGCCTCCTGAGCAGCTGGAACTAGAAGTGGATGCTGAGGGCTGGGCACAGTGGCTCAAGCCTGTAATCCCAGCACTTTGGGAGGCCGAGGCAGGTGGATCACGAGGTCAAGAGATCGAGACCATCCTGATCAACATGGTGAAACCCCGTCTCTACTAAAGATACAAAAAGTTAGCTGGGCATGGTGGTCCGTGCCTGCAATCCCAGCTACTCAGGAGGCTGAGGCAGGAGAATTGCCTGAACCCAGGAGGCGGAGGTTGCAGTGAGCCGAGATCGCGCCATTGCACTCCAGCCTGGGTAACAAGAGCGAAACTCCGCCTCAAAAAAAAAAAAAAAAAAAAAAGTGGATGCCACCACCTCCAACTAATTTTTGTATTTTCAGTAGAGACAGGGTTTCACTATGTTGGCTAGGCTGGTCTCGAACTCCTGGCCTGAAGTGATCCACCCATGTTGGCCTCCCAAAGTACTGGGATTACAGGTGTGAGCCACTGAGCCTGACTACTTTTAAAATGTTATTACTGAAAGGTAAAGAACAGGACTATTCCACAAGGGAATTCAAGGAGATTCTATGAGAGAGACACAAAGTAAAATATTTTACAGTTAAAACACCATTATACTTAATTTTGCACTCCTTGTGCTTTTCATAAGCATTCCACACTGTCCTGTCTGTGAACTCGGATGGGCAATTGGAGTCTGAACTGATGAAATACATAATTTTAAAGTGAGCAACAAAATGTAGTTCCTCTTCATTATGTTTCATTGATGATAAGACCTAACAAACCTTCTGTTTGCTATTACAGCCTGATGCAACTTACATTTTATGTAAATATTTTGCAAAGGATTATGCATTCTTAAATGCATAGGCATTTTTTCCAGAAAGCATTTGTATATGTCCACAATAGTATTATCTTACTAGTATCTATATTTTGATATTCCTGAGGAACTGTATTCGGTCAGGGTTTAGAGTAGGCATATTATATTTTAATTAAAACTGTGGCATACATATAAAACATACTTAATTTTTTTTTCCTATCAACATTTGTTTTTGGATCAGGAGGTAAATGAAAGGTTTATTACATGTGTAAATCGTGTGTCACTGGTGTTTGGTGCACAAATTATTTTATCACGAAGGTAGTGAGCATAGTACCCAATATCGTTTTCTGATTCTCACCCTCCTCTCACCCTTTACCCTCAAGTAGGAATTCCTTCTTGAATAAATCCAATCCTCACCCATGTTTCTGTTATTTTCTTGCTTTCTGAAGGTCATCAACTCTGTGTGACATCATCACTTTTCTCTCATGTACACCCAACTGTCTACAGTGCCATGGTGAATTTCAGTATGTAGGGCACATTCTCTGAGATCTTGATTCCAGGGGTATATTTAATCATAAGAAGTTGGCAAAGCTGGTCTTCACACACTGTCATACCATCACAGTAAAGTGCTCTAGAGGGAAAGCTAAAACCACCCACCACATAGGAATACACAGAAATATTCCTTTCCCTTGACAATCGTGGTAGCAAAGCAATAACTGGTAAAACAGAAATAAATGTTGCAATGAGCCTAGGAGTGCATTTCAACTACCTAATGGCAGCACACTGCATAGGCAAATTAAGATCCCCAAACTGGGCTCATTTTGGGAATACGCATATTGTCTTTGTGTTACAGTCGGGCAAGCAAGCCAGGGTAAATCCTAGCTTGGGCAGGGATGCTATGGCATGGTAAGACATCCAATAAAGGCACACGTAGCAGCACACAGGGTTTCAGGATGTTTCTCTCTTAATAAACGAATTTCTAAGAATGAAACAAACAGTCCCTTGCTTAGCACACCTCTCCATCTGAAAGACAGCGATTTAATAATGTAACAATTTAATTATCAGGATATAGATGCTTTGAATGGCTAAGTAGGTCATTGTGTTCACAGGGCAGATGTCAGAACTGCTTGCCAGATGACAAAAGATATAACCCCAGGCTGTTTTTATTCCATTTATACAAGACCTAACTCACACATTAGAGCCTCTGCTGTTTACAGCTTTACTCTAAGGGTCTATTAAGAGGCTCCAAGAAATTCCCTTGTTCTATTTACACCTTTAGACTTAAAATAACCTGCGCATATGGTAATATGACCCTGACAGACACAGTCCTGCACCCATCCAGGCAGAATGGCTGTAAAACTGTCTGTGTTTTAGTGGTATTTTGTGCCTGCTACATTTCAGCACTTGTGACTTAATAATGTGAACATACATGTATCAAGATCCTGCAGCCCTTCTGCTTATTGCACTCGAGAAGGAGCTGTCACTAACGTACAGGCGTTATGGGATTATGCGCCTGTGCTATCTGAACAGATTTCCCCACAGCCCATCCGATCATCCTCAAATCCCATTGACCAAATACTCTCCTTCCCCTAATATTGGCTGTGCTCTCCCCAACGTCTCCCGTATTCCACCCCACCTTATCTCTCACTGTGGTCTCTAAGACGTCTCATCACCTCTGTTGACGTCCCTCTGATGTCCCCAAACTCTGTAGCCGATTCCAGGCCCCCGCCACCTCTCCAGGTCCTCCATCAATCCTGCAGACCCTCTCCAGAGGGTCATCACCTCTGTAACCCTTCCATGGGTCCCGATTACCTCTGCAGACCTTTCCCACGTCTTATCACCACTACAGCCTTACCACTCTCCCTCTGTTGCTCCAACAGCCCCTTCCTTACTCAAGGCGACCTCCCCACGCCCTCATAACCCACATTACTCAAGTAGATCCTCCTCACACTCGCTGATTCCCGCAAATCTTCACCAAGGCGCTCCCCAATACATGCAGACCCGCGCCCAGGCCACCGCCGCCCCGCAGACGCCCCTCGGCCGCCAGCTTCCGGACGGCGGCGGCCCCGCTTCCCGCCCGGCCCGCGGACTCACAGGGCATTCGCGTGAGCACGTTGCGCGGCGCCTTCCTGCTCCTACCCGGACCCCTCCGGCCCGCTCCGGCGGCCCCGTCCCCTTCCTCTTTGGTCACCATGAGACGGCGGAGGCGCTGGATGCGCTCGGGGTCCGGAGCGGGCGCGTCCGGACGGCGGCGAGTCCTGCCCGAGGGCCCGGGAGCGGCGGGAACCCCCGAGCCCGCGGCCGCGCCCCGAGCCCGCCCGCGCCCGCGCCCGCCGCCCCGGACCCCGGTCCTGAGGAAGCTCTCGTATTCGGCCACGTTGTTGAAGCAGGGGGCGTTGGGGTAGGGTATGGGAGGCAGGCGGGGAGCGTACAGAGCCAGCAGCGGGTCGAAGCTGTCAGAGCTGACATCCAGCCGCGGACTGGGCGGGCGCACGGGGCTCCCAGCGCGAGCCGACCTCGCCCCCCGCTCCCGCTCCTCCATGTTTGAAAGGCCCGCAAGCCGAGGCCGATGGGAAGAAGGAGCGGAGCCGCCAGAGGGCGGCACTGCGCAGCCGCGGCGCGCGGTCGCACTGCGCCGACGCGGCCGCAGGAGGGCAGCACCTGTCCACGTTCCTCCCGGGCCAAGGGGGCGTGGTGCGCGGATCCGACCAGCCCGCGTCTCCACCGCCTCCGCCCACAGGTGACAGGTTAACGCTGTCGACCTGCTCCAACGGCAGCCTCTCGTCTGTGTCATTATCATTCGGGGTGTTTGTTAATACTCCGGATTCCCCAAGGGGTGAGCTCAGTCCTAGCTTGAGCTGGCAGGAAAGGCCTGCAGAAAGGCAATGAATGTCTCAATTTGCTTCCATGCTGAGTACGACTGATGGTGGGCGGGAAGGAATAGCCCACCTGGGCTCATATTTAGCGTCTTTCTCATCTGAAATACGATATAAATAGTACCTACCTTATAGAACTGACCTCAAGATGGAGAGATACTGCCTACATAGCACATAATAAATGCCTATCAACCAATACTGGGTAAGTGTCAGCCCTCCATTTCCTATATACCCTATGCATAAACAAATTTCCGCTAAGGCTGGAGCGACCTTAGTATCAACGAAAATGCATTATATCACTGACTTTCTAGGCATTGCTAAGCAATTGGAAGAAACAAGGATCCAGCTCTTGGAGGAAGCCATGGAAAATTCACAAGACCTGAGCATACCACTAGTTCCACGGTAGCCTTAATTCGGCAAAATATTTTTTGGTTGATTTTAAAATGATAGTTGCTTTGTGTATATTTTAGTTTCCTTAAAACTCAAAGAGGAAGTCCAAGAGAATACTGGAGAGTACCTTAGAGAGCAAGATGAAATTAATATACAACTGTGAAATATACCTTGGGATGAATGCATACTACAGCAAAGATAAAACCATCAAGCAGTGGCTTCTAATTAGTAGCAGTACAGGTTTCTTTATGGCACAGGTATTAAACCCAGCTTATCACTTTGTTCAAAACCCCCTGCCTGAATAAACAACTCAAAGCTTCAGAACTGGGGCAATTCAAATGAGTGCTTATCCCATTATGTGACAAAACTGAATGATAGCCTTTATAGTGTCACTTAAGACCTACAGAAAGCAGATTTCCCTTGTTGGTTTTCTTGAAAATTTGTGCTCTAATACCTAGTTGTCTGTATTTTGATATAAAATGCTGTCAACTTACCATTAAATTAAAATTGCTAATCAAGAGCTACACTGTCTTACTTCCCACCCAGCCTATCACAGTATACCGAGGGCCCTGCTGCCCAAGGTGCTATATATTGACAACCATACACATCAGAAGCCTTTGGGGTTAAAAATCAGATTGCTGGCCGGGTGTGGTGGCTCACGCATGTAATCTCAGCACTTTGGGAAGCTGAGGTGGGCGTATCCCAAGGTCAGGAGTTCGAGACCAGCCTGGCCAATATGGTGAAACCCCGTCTCTACTAAAACTACAAAAATTAGCCAGGTGTGGTGTTACACATAGTCCCAGCTACTCAGGAGGCTGAGGCAGAAGAATCACTTGAACCTGGGAGGCGGAGGTTGCAGTGAGCTGAGATCACACCACTGCACTCTGGCCTGGGCAACAGAGTGACACACCATCTCAAAAGAAAAAAAAAATCAGATTGCTGAGCTTCAAACCTTCCTGGGGGCTGGGGGGAACCAAAAATGTGCATTTTAAACAAGCATTCCAAGTAATGTTTTTTTTCCATCCAGAAGTTCGTGAACCACTACTGTGATGAGGGTATGTGTATCCTGGCCTACCCAGAGATATACATGAAAGTTAGATTTCATATAGTCTTTTTGTCTAAGAAAAATAAATGAAAAAGGCCAAAGGAGTTGACATCTTTATTTATTTCCTCAAAGAGACTTTAGCAATTACCAAACAAGAGCCGTATCTCCTCTTTCTGTGGATTGAGAACAGGATGGGAAAAAATGGCATTGATAGATGGGGTGTCAATTAGTGAGGGATGAGTCCAGCCATCACCCTTTCAAAAATACATTTTATTCCTGACTGTAAATTTTGCAATGCAAGATGAGAAACTGGGACATGGGCTCTTTTTTTTTTTAGACAGAGTTTTGCTGTCACTCATGCTGGAGTGCAGTGGCATGATCTCGGCTCGCTGCAACCTCCAGCTACCAGGCTCAAGTGATTATTCTGCTTCAGCCTCCTGAGTAGCTGGGATTACAGGCATGCACCACCACACCAGGCTAATTTTTGTATTTTTAATACAGATGGAGTTTTGCCATGTTGGCCATGCTGGTCTCAAACTCCTGGCCTCAAGTTATCTACCCACCTCAGCCTCTCAAAGTGCTGGGATTACAGATGTGAGCCACCTATGCCCAGCCATGTCTTTTTTGGGGGGAGACAGTTTCGCTAGTCACTCAGGCTGGAGTGCAATAGTGCAATGTCAGCTCACTGCGACCTCCATCTCCTGGGTTCAAGTGATTCTCCTCCCTCAGCCTCCTGAGTAGCTAGGATTCAGGCATGCCCCCACCATGCCCAGCTAATATTTTGTGCTTTTATAGAGACAGGATTCCTCCATGTTGGTCAGGCTGGTCTCGAACTCCCGACCTCAGGTGATCTGCCTGCCTTAGCCTCCCAAAGTGCTGGGATTATAGGCATGAGCCACCGTGCCTGGCCTCTTTTATTTTTAATAGGGCCAAATAATCCTTTCCCTCCAAAATATAAAACCAGGACAAGAGAAAAATGTGAGTTCTCTCACCACCTATTCCCAATACCTTCCCCTTTCAGAGGCCAAATTTGGCTACATATCATGCCTGCTGCTCTCTGCTTCTCACCCATCTCCACTGGCCCAGCAGAAGGTGGAGCTATTAATATTGACTCTTCTGACATCTGCTACCTGTCAATTAGCAGAAGCATTACCTGCTAATTGGCAGCAGGTGTCAATTACCCCTCTGCTCTTGAATTCACATGTCATTTTTCTGATTACACAGGCTACCTGAGAATCTTTTTCAGGAAGTACAACAGGAAAGCGACTTTTAAAACTAATATCTTGAGTACATGGAGTAAATATTCTCCATCCTCATTCACTAATTCTTGTTTTTCTCTCTCATATATACACATAATTCTGTTTCTTCTTAGAAAGAGGTAAATGGCCTGAGAAACTATGCCCCTGCCTAGATGATCATCATGCTGACAACTCCATTAAGTCACTCCACAGAATGTGTACACAAGGACATTGAAACCACTCCTCCATGGAGACTGGCACAAAGCCCTGAGTATTCCCTGCAATTCCTGAATCCAGAGGCATCATGCAGGCATTAACCCATATTTATCTGCAGGTCTGGCAAAGATGAATGCAAGTAGATGGGTAGCAGAGGTGAGATTTTCAAAGTCAGTGGGTTTTCTGGTTAAGAACAGGTGGGCGGGAGTTTGGGCTCCTCTTCTCTCATAGGTGAAAAGAACTGACAGGTTTTTACAAGATATATGTCACAATCTAAAAATGATTCACTCTGCAAGGCATGAAATAGTTCTTGCTTTATAAAAATAGTACTGCGATTTAAAAAAAAAGCACTTCTGCCAAAGGAACCATGTTCCCACATTGCAAACAAGGTGTTCTGCTTAAACAGAATAAGATCCACCACCCCCATCCATCCTTCCTTGCCTGTTCCCCTCCCAACTTGAGTCGTGTCATTCGTGCCAGTGTTCTGGGTGGTGAGGACGCTATGGCCACCTAAGGCAGGGAGCCCTGGGAGGTGAAAGGGCTTGCATGGTTAAGTACACCAGAACTGAAGAGCAAAGGGTCAGCTGTCTTCATCTAGAATCTCTGGATGTTCCTTCCAGAAAGCATCCCCAATGATATCGCAGTGCAAGGGCACTGGTTTAGTCCTGGTTCGGGTCACTGCCATCTTTTTTCCTTCCATTTCTGTTGGCAGTTTAATTTCTTTTGTCATGACTTCATCCACCTACAGGTAAAAATAAAGCAGGGACATTGTTAACTCAGGAGTGGGATTGGGAGAGAAAAGAAAGATGTGGGGATAGTTCACTTTTTATCTTCAAATACTTCTGACTGCCAGATTTGAAATATATAGAGATAGATGTATGTGCATATATACGCTCATGTGTATGTGTATGTGTGTGTGTGTATATATATATAAAATCTCACTATGCATGAAGTTCTTTATAATTAAAAATAGTTTTAAAAAGGTTACGTTAGCAGGGCGTGGTAGCTCATGCCTGTAATCCCAGCACTTTGGGAGGCCAAGGTGTGCAGATCACTTGAGGTCAGGAGTTCAAGACCAGCCTGGCCAATATGGTGAGAACTTGCCTCTACTAAAAGTACAAAAATTAGCTGGAAATCACTTGAACCCAGGAGGCAGAGGTGGAATGAGCCGAGATGACACCACTGCACTCCGGCCTGAGTGACAGAGCAAGACGCCATCTCAAAAAAAAAAAAAAAAGAAAAACAAGAGTTATAATATTATATTCTGAAGAGATCTTAGGAACAAAGAAAGGATTCCATGTTCCTCATTAGCAATAACTACAGAATTAAAGGTATTTCTTACCTTCCATCTTCATTAAGAAATATCCAAGTCTGTGCCAAAGAACAAACGTTTTGAAATACTAAAAGAGCTGGAGCTGCCAGTGAATGACTAGCTCTCAGGGTACTCCCTGGTACTTGAAAACATTCATTTCAAAAAAAAACAACTTTACATGGGAGGAAATAAGTTTAGAGAAATCATTATGCCCAACAGATGGTACAGAGAGGAAATATTGGTGAATTAAGGATATTGGTAAATGTACACACTTATTATGGAATATTAAGATAAGTATGAATGTCAAGAGAATCTCATGACATTTAGGAAAAAACCAACCCTCATATACATCTTCTCTTAGTACCTCATATTATAGTTGTCATGGGATGGAGAAACCATTTAATGGTATTATCCAGTGTGAGATAAAGTACTTTGTAAGTATTTTGTGAATACTCAAATCCTCATACCTGTTCTATATCCATTTAAAAGGATTTCATTTAATACAGAGAAGCTTACAAAACAGAAAAATAAGGGCACTAATTCTAAAATTCTGTCATTCAACTTATGTATGGGAGATTTCAGACCACTACCGACTGACAAAATGCACATCCAAAATAAGAAGAATCTATGGCATCCCCTTTAGGAAAGGATCTGGTTTGCGTTAGCAACTGGAGTCGCATCAGCATACAGGCAGCAGGCAGGACACAGCTTAGGATGGGCACAGGCTCTCTTTCTTCCTGACTTCCATTTTTCTTTAAACACAACGGCATTACCTTCTGCCATATCAGCACCGTCCCTTTCCTATATATCAGCGGCTCGTTATTATAGTTGATATTGAATTCAGAAAACAAAATCTCATTCTTGTCTGCTGCGAGAGTTCCCTGAGGAAACAAAAACATATATTAACAGCTCTGCATATCTTTTTTTTTCCTTGGAAACGGAGTCTCACTCTGTTGTCCAGGCTGGAGTGCAGTGGTGCAATCTTGACTCACTGCAACCTCTGCCTCCCGGGTTCAAGCAATTCTCCTGCCTCAGCCTCCTGAGTAGCTGGGACTACAAGCGCACACTGCCACGCCTGGCTAATTTTTTGAATTTTAGTAGAGACGGGGTTTCACTGTGTTGCCCAGGCTGGTCTCGAACTCCTGAGCTCAGGCAATCCACCCACCTCGGCCTCCCAAAGTGCTAGGATTACAGGTGTGAGCCACTGCACCTGGCCTGCATGTCTTCTTTCTCCCCTAATGCTACTATCCATTCGACCCGCTACCTAAACTTCCACAATCAAGAAATGGAAGGATTTGATCAAACATCTTACAGTGACTAGTGAATTTTCATCTTAAGAGCAATTATAATCTTACTTAGATAAAATTCTCTCCTGTACCAGACAATGGCGTCACAGGTCAACACTGAAACAGAGTAGGGGGAATTAATACTGAGTATATATTATGTATTTGGTCACGTAAAACTTAGAAAGGTTATATAAATTGCCCAGGGTTAAAAGGTTGTCCTTACTCTTCTACAAATAATCAAAATCTGAACTTGATTCTTTCAAAACTGGATATACCTACCAGTATTCCCTTTTTTGAGATGGAGTCTCACTCTGTTACCCAGGCTGGAGTGCAGTAGCATAATCTCAGCTCACTGCAACCTCCACCTCCTAGGTTCAAGCGATTCTCATACCTCAGCCTCCTGAGTAGCTGGGATTACAGGCATGTGCCACCATACCGGGCTAATTTTTATAGAGACAGGGTCTCAGCATGTTGGCCAGGCTGGTCTCAAACTTCTGACTTCAGGTGATCTGCCCACCTCAGCCTCCCCAAAGTGCTGGGATTACAGGCATGAACCACACGTGGCCACAGTATTCCTATTATTGCTACATATAAATCTCTATCATTAGCATTATTAAAAATGACAACCATTTACTGAGCAATTATAATGTACCAGGCATTGTATTAGTAACTGTTATAGCTAGGCACCTGTAATCCCAGCTACTTGGGAGGCTGAGTGGGAGGATTGCTGGAGCCCAGGAGTTCAAGATCAGCCTGGGGAAAATAGTGAGACTCCATCTCAAAAAATAAATAAATAGATAGATAAAATAAAATACAAATAGTCCAGGCACAATGGCTGACACCTGTAATCCCAGCACTTTGGGAATCCAAGGAGGTGGATCATGAGGACAGGAGTTCAAGACTAGCCTGGCCAAGATGGCGAATCCCCGTCTCTACTAAAAACACAAAAATTAGCCAGGTGTGGTGGTGGGCGCTTGTAATCCCAGCTACTCGGAGGCTGAAGCAGAGAACTGCTTGAACCCGGGAGGTAGAGTTTGCAGTGAGCCTAGATCGCGCCACTGCACCATTCCAGCCTAGGCAACAGAGTGAGACTCCATCTAAAAAAAAATAAAATAAGGCCGGGCGTGGTGGCTCACGCCTATAATCCCAGCATTTTGGGAGGCCGAGGCAGGAGGATCACGAGGTCAAGAGATCAAGACCATCCTGGTCAACAAGGTGAAACCCCATCTCTACTAAAAATACAAAAATTAGCTGGGCATGGTGGTGCTGGCCTGTAGTCCCAGCTACTCGGGAGGCTGAGGCAGGAAAATTGCTTGAACCCAGGAGGCAGAGGTTGCGGTGAGCCTAGATCATGCCATTGCACTCCAGTCTGGGTAACAACAGTGAAACGCCGTCTCAAAAAATAAATAAATAAAATACAAATACAAATAAAAGAACTGTTACAACACATTACCTCATTTCACAGTCTTCCTACAAGTAGCACTGTTATCTAATAATAAAAACCAGTATTTATTAAGCACTTATAATAAGCTTCATACTATTCTGTTTTACATGCATCATGCTATTTAATTCTCACTGTAAACCTATGAGGTAGAAACTATTTTCTACATTTCACCTATAAAGAACTGAGGCAGAGAGGATAAAATTACACAGAAGCATGATATTAGTAGTTATCTGGTATTCTTCCCACACACAGGGGTCAAAAACCCAAGAAACTATAGGAGCCTAGAAGGGAATGGGAATGAGGGAAGAGGCCTGGTGTCGTGGACAAAGTCAGTGCTGGCCAGGTACAGTGGCTCACGCCTATAATCCCAGCACTCTGGGAAGCCAAGGCAGGCAGATTGCCTGAGGTCAGGAGTTCAAGACCAGCCTGGCCAACATAGTAAAACCCCGTCTCTACTAAAAATACAAAAATTAGCCAGACCTGGTGCCATATGCCTGTAATCCCAGCTACTTGGGAGGCTGAGGCATGAGAATCGCTTGAGCACAGGAGGCAGAGGTTGCAATGAGCTGAGATCACACCACTGCACTCCAGCCTGGGTGACAGAGTGAAACTGTGTTTTTTTTAAAAAAAGGCAGTGCTGAAGATGGCAGTCACACATAGCTGCAGGCAAGTGTTAGCATGTGGGAAGGCAGAGCCAATGCCAAGGACACAAAGGCTCAGGGAGAAGCAGTAACTCATCCAGGATTACAGACCAAGCAGGCAGCAGAGCTGCTCCTATTATGATTTTTATATCCTTTCAAAACAAAGCTGTAAAGGGATCTTAAAAAAAAAAAAAAAGTAAAGTTAACATAAAAAAAGTTATGGGAGAGCCTACGGCAACCTGTCCCATTCAGTATTAACATAGTAAGATCTTTATACCTGTAATCTCCCTTGGGCTTCCACTGGTGTTAGTCCAGATTGTTGTATAAGTGCCCAGAAAACTGTATTATAAAGATTATTGATGTGACCTGTAAGGAGTACAAAATAGTAATGTTTATATACATAAAATCTTTATTCGATATTCATTCTTCAAGGAATACTAGAGCCCCGTCTCACTCCTCTTTAGAGAGATCTCAGAGACATCTGGTGACTTGCCGGAAGTCTTATACAGGGAACATGGAGGGAAGGAGTAGGAGGAACAAAACCTCATTCCCAACAACAGTTTCATTTGGTCATTTCAGTTATACATTATACAAAGCTGTTAATTTGTGTGTTGAACTTAGGAATATTTTAGACGTTATTTGATTTATATTATTCCAACCTCTTTCCAGTTCGTCTGGAAAAACCAAAACAGAACAAGCAAGTAAAAGTCTCACAAACATCATCACAGTCACATAAGGCAGGGGTCACAATTCAAACACCCACTGAGGCTGGCATAAACATAAATGGGTAAAACAGTGGGTGACCCCAGAGGAGCAACAGGGAAAGGCAGAGACTATGACATACTGGCGTGTGTGTGCGCGCGCGCGCGCGCGTGTGTGTGTGTGTGTGTGTAAAGGTGACTACCACTGGAGAGGCTCTGTCCAGTACTAAGTGAGAATGTACATTCAGTATTACTATATCTGACTTTTTTTTTCTTTTTAAATACAGATAAGGAGGCTGAGTGTGGTGGCTCACACCTGTAATCCCAGCACTTTGGGAGGCTGAGGCAGGTGGATCACCTGAGGTCGGGAGTTCAAGACTAGCCTGACCAACATGGAGAAACCCTGTCTCTACTAAAAATACAAAAAGTAGCCGGGCGTGGTGGTGCATGCCTGTAATCCCAGCTACTCAGGAGGCTGAGGCAGGAAAATCGCTGGAACCAGGGAGGTGAAGGTTGTGGTGAGCCAAGATTGCGCCACTGCACTCCAGCTTGGGCAACAAGAGCGAAACTCCGTCTCAAACAAACAAACAAAAATAGAGATAAATTTATCAATACTTTTAACTAACTGAAGAAATATTTAAATACTGCATTCTATACAAAATGTATACAAAACAAAGTATATGTGAGCCAATCCTGCATCAGATCAACACCTTTAAGGCATGGAATCGGTGGTTTAACTACAGGTGTTTATTTGGTGCCACTCACAATCTGCTTGTCGCCAGCTGAGGTAGTCCTTTAAGGTCTGGTTGCTAGGATACACCACAACTCTTCCATCAAAGCCTGGGGGATACAGGAGGGGCTGGTCCTCAAAGTAATTCCGCCAATAAAACACATAGCTGGAGGCGAACTGGGAGGCCACGTGAGTCATGAACTTACTTGCAAATGTAAGGCACATTGGGTGGAGCAAGAAAAGGAAAAATACACGGAATTAATTCAATATCATGCTAAGACCTGTGAGTGCCACAGAGAGATTACACAAACTGCCCAGAAAGCCAGGAGATAAAATGCATTTGGCTAAGAAACACCATTTTAATACCTTGGTTCCATTTTTTTTTTTTTTTTTTTGAGACAGAGTCTTGTTCTGTTGCCCAGGTTGGAGTGCAGTGGTGCCATCTCAGTCCACTACAACCTCCGCCTACCAGGTTCAAGTGATTCTCCTGCCACAGACTTCCGAGTAGCTGGGATTACAGGCGCAAGCCACCATGCCCAGCTAATTTTTGTATTTTTAGTAGAGATGGGGTTTCACCATGTTGACCAGGTTGGTCTCAAACTCCTGACCTCAAGTGATCCACCCGCCTTGGCCTCCCAAAGTGCTGGGATTACAGGCATGAGTCATCACACCTGGCCAGTAACGTATTTTAAATACAGCCTGCCGCTCTTTCCACTTCTATTAAGTAACCTACTAATACTACATTTTTCCCTACAGGATGTGATATGAATTTATGATTCAAGAAGTATTTTTAAATTTTTTTTAAAAGATAGTATCTCTCTGTCCCCCAGGCTGGGGTGCATTGGTATGATCATAGCTCACTGCTGCCTCAAATTCCTTGGCTCAAGGGATCCTGCTGCCTCAACCCCCTGAGTACTTGGGACTACAAGTACATGTCACTGTGCCTGGCTAACATTTACACTTTTTGTAGAGACAGGGTTTCACCATCTTGCCCAAGCTGGTCTCAAACTTCTGGGCTCAAGTATCCTCTCCCCTACCCTCTCAAAGTGATGGGATTACAGGCATGAGCCACCATGCCTGACCTGTTTGTGTTTTCAGCCATAGAAGCGGGGGAAACCATTGTTTTTTTAAAAAAGGCCAATTCAGGCTGGGTCTGGTGGCTGACGCCTGTAATCCTGGCACTTCGAGAGGCTAAAGCAGGAGGATTGCTTGAGGCCAGGAGTTCGAGGCCTGCCTGGGCAACACAGGTAGACTCCATGTTGAAAGAAAGGAAAGAAAGAAAAGAAAGGAAAGGAAGGAAAGGAAAAAGAAAAGGAAAGGAAGAACCAACTCATTATATGATTTGTTTCCCATGCAGAGTTTTAAAATATTGCCAAGTCAAATATCAGATTTGTGTCTATTTTATACTAAGATTCTTCCTTAATCAACAGTGTAAATAATAATGCAATGCATGTAGAGACTGTCACTGGCTAAAGCCAAGCTATGAATTGTTAATATTACAATTTTATGGTGTATGCTTCTAGTTTTAATGTTCAATGCTAGGTCAGTCTAGAAACTAATCCTACGGGACATGCGGGGGTAAGAATCAGATAAAGAGGCATACGGAATGCTCGGCTATCAGATGGAAGTACAACAATCTAAATAGGAAATATACATGCACTCTGGAGTTACAAATACTGCAGACATCATTTATAGTCTGTAAGACTGTGATTAAGATAAATGGAAAACCAGATGCTGGTAGAAAATACTCTGAAGAAAGGAAGAAGGTCATGGAATTACCTGGCTCTTCTTTTAAACCAATTGGTTTTCCGCTTGAACACAAAGCTGTACTCATCACTCTGTCCATATGCAATCACAATATCCTCTAGTTCTTCCATCACGGTCTGGGCACATTTGGTCATCAGGTGGAGAGCACGGCTGTCATTAGGTTTTGCAAAGTTGTGCTTCTCGGCAAACCTTCATAGGGGAAAGAGAAAAAGGAAGAAGACATGGATGGAAGCCTCATTAGCAAGAGGCTCTGTTGCTAGATAACAGAGGCTGTTTGGAGGAAGATAATGTGAGAGCACTGTGAACCCAAATGTTCAACTAGCCACAGCCTGATCCATTTCCTTAAGAACTTAGTTTTTTTTCTGCCCTGAAATTGAGAAAACCAGACGTAAATGCTAAGCCTCAACTCTTCTTTCAGTGAAATGGGAATAAAAGAATATTTACCTCATTGGGTTGTCCTAAAGATTAGGGGAAAGATAAAAGTAATCATACCTAGCTCCTAGTAAGTGCTCAATAAATGTTAGTTATAATGATCATTAATAATGCAGCCCTTTTTAAAAATTAAATTCCCATTTTTCTGTTATATTTCGTTTGCCCCCTTCCCATTTTTCTGTTATATTTCGTTTGCCCCCTTCCCATTTTTCTGTTATATTTCGTTTGCCCCCTTCCCCTTTTTCTGAGACAGGGTCTGGCTCTGTCACCCACGCTGAAGTGCAGCAGCCCAGTTACCGCTCACCGCAGCCTTGACCTCTCAGGCTCAAGCGATCCTCCCACCTCAGCCTCCCGAGTAGCTAGGACTACAGGTGGGCACCGCTGCGCCCGGCAAATTGTTTTTTCTTTTTCTTTCTTTTTTTTTGAGACGGAGTCTCGCTCTATCGCCCAGGCTGGAGTACAGTGGTGTGATCTCGGCTCACTGCAACCTCCGCCTACCGGGTTCTATCAATTCTTTGCCTTAGCCTCTGGAGTAGCTGTAATTACAGGTGGTCGCCACTACGCCCAGGTAATTTTTCGTATTTTTAATTTTCATATATATATATATATATATATATATTATTATTATTATTTAGTAGAGATGGGGTTTCACCATTTTGGCCAGGCTGGTTTCAAACTCCTGACCTCGTGATCCACCCACCTCGGCCTCCCAAAGTGTTGGGATTACAGGCGTGAGCCACCGCGCCCGGCCTCTCTCTTTCCTTTCTCTCTCCCTGTCTCTCTCTTTTTTTTTTTTTTTTTTTTTGGTAAAGGAGTGTTTTGGAAAAAAACAAGAAAACAAAGAACAAAACCCCAAAAACCTGGTCTCCGACTCCTGGCCTTAAGTTATCGTCCCGCCTCCCGCACCTGGCCTTCCCTTTTTTTTCTGACTCTCTCTTGAATCTAGTCCATGTGGCCTGTTCTTGATAATGAAGCATAGACATAAGCATTGCCCACAAGCAACGCTTACACAGACTTCTGAACAGTCAGCATTCAAAGATATCTAAGAGAATAGCTGGGCAACTGGCTTAAGAGCTTAAGTACTGCGCATGAGAGTGACTTTTAATATCAGGTCTCTCCTTGCTAACAGGTCTCTCCTCACTTAACACCGGCACTCCAAGCCAGATCCTCATTGGGGGAGCCCGTCGCCCATTCAATTACGCTGACAGCCCGCGTTCAGGCAGGGTCCTAGCTAACACGCAGGGCGGGGCGATGCTCCATGCTACACACTCATTGGCTACCGCGTTACCCCGGTAACCGCGAAGGGTCAAGGGCAAGGAGGATTTGCAAAAGTAGGAACTGGATTCCCCAGAAGCGCTGGCGTAATGCGACGCCCAGAGCAGAGCTTGCTCACCGATGGAAATTCCTGCCGTCCAGCCGCACTACCACCCAGCAGTGGGCTAAGCAGGTGTCATCAGCCTCGAAGTCCCTCACGTACTCGAACTTGCTTTTTGCCATGGTTGCCCCCAATCTCAGGCACCGTCTTAGAATGATGGAAGTGATGGCCAAGGAATCGTGAACCTTAACTTTACAGGCGGTCCACATTCCCCACGCGGAAGGGAAAGAACCAGATAGCCCCACCCCGGAAGTGTTTTCTTCGTGGCCGCTCTAGCCGTAGGGCGGTCGTAGTCTCCCTCGCCTCTCCCTGTAGTTCTTAACCTCCGAGGGAAGAGGATGGAGGTTTCGGTTCCTCCTTTAGCACCGCCCACGCTTGCTTCTTCCTCCTCCCGTCCAGCCGCACATTCACTCTCAACGAGGTTTTTAAAAATTCTTTTTTCTCTGCTGGTCTTGACTCACTGGCGGGAGCAATCAGTGTCCCTGTTAGTGCCTAGATCAAAAACATACCCCACCTAAAAAAAAAATTATTTTTCTCACCGCTTTTGAAGGTGTAGCTATGATGTTCTTTGGCTCTTTTTTGGTGGCATCTACTAACTCGTAGAAAATCTGGAATATACCGAAAATATAGTCAATAAAATTAATACTTTATGTCTCCATCTTCCCCCTCAAAACCATTGTGGATGTTTCCTAACAGTCTTTTTTCTTTTTGTGTATGTAGGTTGACACAGGGAATGCACAAGAGTGGAATTATTCACCTATACAGTGCTTATATATTTTTCCACTCATCTTGAGCATTTGCCAATATCATCAATTATTCCAAAGTGTTATTTGTAAAAGAAAATGAATTCAATATTCCAACATATGGGTATAATACATTGATTTATTCAACTTTTTCACCAATAAATAATCACAGAACAAGTGTTTGATATATTGTTGCTGGTGGATAATAGCAACAATAAAATCCTAATATATGTGTCATACTTGATGATTTACAAAGCTCTTTCACATTCATTACCTACTTACTTTTTTTTTTTTTCATTCTCAAGAAAGATATTCATAGGTGGCAAGGTGACTCATGCCTGTAATCCCAGCACTTTGGGAGGTGGAGGCAGAAGGGTTGTTTGAGCTCAGATTGATGCCAGTCTTGACAATGTAGCAAGACCCCCTCTTCCTAAAAAAAGAAAAAAATTATCCAGGAGTGGTAGCCCATGCCTGTAGTCCTAGCTAGGGGAGGATGAGATGGGAAGATTGCTTGAGGCCAGGAGTTCGAGACTGCAGTGACCCAGGATTAAGCCACTCTACTCCAGCCCAGGCAACAGAGCAAGAATCTGTCTCTAAAGAAAAAGAAAAGTATTCAAATATAAATACTTTTAAATGTAGTGAAAAGTCTCTCACTGACTCCTAACTTCACATACTTCAGGCAGTTACTGTTACCATTTTTTTGTGTGTATCCATGCAGGGATCTATATATCAGGATGTGTGTATATCCTCATAATAGTACCACAAATGGTAATCATCATCTCCTTAGATGCTTACAGTAACATCAGAGGGTCTCAGAAGAGGAACTGGGATTCCACCTTTACTAAGGGGAAGCCTGAGACTCAAAGGGGAAAAAGTAATTTACATAAGGTCACATTTGTGGCAGGGCCAAGACATAAATCATGACATCCTCTATCTTTTGTTTCTGTTGCTGTGAAGTGAGTTTTCTGTAGGTTATCATTCCTCACCTTCTACTTCTGCAAACTCCTCTTTCCAATCACCAGGAGATAACCAAATCTTACCTCCTCTGGGACCCTTACTTTCATTAGGTGAATTTTTCAAAATTATGTATCAATATGAATTCGTAATTTTTAAAAATTTTTTGTTTATTTGTATGTTTTCGAGACAGAGTCTAGCTCTGTCACCCAAGCTGGAGTGCAATGGAATGATCTCAGCTCACTGCAGCCTAGACCTGTGGGTTCAGGCAAACCTCCCATCTCAGCCTTCCTCCTCGTAGTTGGGACAACAGTTGCATGCCACCAGGCCCGGCTAATTTTTGTACTTTTTTCTAGAAACAGGGTTTCCCCATTCCCATCCCCCATGGAGATGAGACTCCTATCAGAGATGGGCTGATTACAAAATAAGCCAGTTCCCTTTGGGTTGCCTTGCAATGAAATGCATGGTACAAGCACTGCACCATCTTCTCCATAGCATCTCTATGGTCTTCTCATAAATTAAGCATTAAAATAAAAGCATAGGAAGGAGGTCTTAAGACACCAATCTGCCCTTTAGTAAAAGGGTTATAAAAGGTTTGTAAAGATTTCACCTCATGGTCAAATTGCTTAGGATTAGATGGAATAATCTATAAGGTTTCATGTAAACAAATTGGAGTTAACATTAATAAACTAACGCAAGGGTAAAATTTTTCTTTGGATAAAATTTTCCTGTTGTGGTAAAGGCTAATGAAAGGTTTTTGCCTTTTGAGTCATTATTTTGGCAAAATCATTTATGGCAGTCTGAAAATTGTCCTTCCGGCTTTTGATGCCTGGCTTTCGGGACGGTTCAGAGGGCCACTGAAACGCTCAGAGGAAAACAGGATTTTGACATGTTTAGTCATGTGAGCTTGCCAAAATGATGTCCAATCTTCTTTAAGTTATATTTTGGTGAATTATACTAATATATGTTCTAAAATTGTATGGCATTTCTAATGTCTAAGTATATGCTATCAATCATAATTAAGGGTAAAGTTATTGCAAACCCAAAGATAAATAAACTTCTTTGTCAGTCATATTTTTAACCATAGCCATCCTGGAAATTTGTCATTCGCAGACAATTGTTATCCTGCTTTGTTCCTTCTCAAAAGATGGTTTATAATCAAGCTATATTAAGGACTTTAACAGGTGTTCTCAAGTGCAAGTGTTTTGTTTTGTTTTTTTGAGATGGAGTACAGTGGTGTGATTTTGGCTCACTGCAACCTCTGCCTCCAGGTTCAAGTGATTCTCCTGCCTCAGCCTCCTGAATAACTGGGACTACAGGTGGATGCCACCACACCTGGATAATTTTTTGTATTTTTAGTAGAGACGGGATTTCACAGTGTTAGCCAGGATGGTCTCAATCGCCTGACCTCGTGATCCGCCCACCTTGGCCTCCCAAAGTGCTAGGATTACAGGCATGAGACACCAAGCCTGGCACCAAATGCAGGTTTTTAATAGACTTAAAGATTATAACATTGAAATGAACGTACAGGACTCATATGGAACTGACATGTTGACAAATATCAAGCAAAATAAAAGTTAACTAAGTGGACTACACTCAGAAAGTTAAAGCAACCTTTTTAACTTTTGCTTGGACTACTGCTGATCCCTGTTTTGATTTTCAGAGTCAAGGAAAGTTATTTCAAACTATTTATGGCCTTTAATAATTGAGTAAGGCATATTCCTGTAAATAAAATCTGGAACATGTTTATTTTTCTCTGCCTTGTTCCTCTAGAATTTGGAAACTGTGAGTACTCTTAACTTATGGCAATATAGTTGTTTGCATCAGTGCCGTAAGCATCCATTTTCCTTTGTCAACAGGACACAATTGGAAAAACTGGTTATTTTATCAAGGCTTTGACTGAAAGGGTGTGTTTCCCTTTAAGGAATCAGGCTTGACATGCAGAGCCAATAAAAACCCCTTGGGGAGAACTGGCCTCATACCTTGTCTGCACAGTCCCCGCACAGGGTTCCTAATCTGTGGTTAGTAAAGAATGTCACTTTTTAACAGGTCTGGTGTGATATAGCTGGCCTAGAGTTAGAACCTGTACAATGCCATTTTATAAAGAGACAAAACTGTTTCCATTCTCCTCACAATGACTGCTAACCTTGGCTTCTGTAAACTGCTAATTTACCTTGCAAAATGCAAATTGGGGTAAAGCTGCATACCTTCTGTAACTGCCAGAATTGCTGGCCTTTGTTTACCAGAGTGAGCACCCCTAGATAATTCCATCCTGGCTCCAAGTAAATAAAAATCTATGGATCCCACCCCTACCCAGACGATGTGTAAACGAATGCTAATCTTAGCATCTGTGAACCCCTTAAATGACAATCAGAATGTCAAATAGTCCCCTGGCCCTCGAAATGTCCAGAACTCCCTCACCCTCATCTCCGCCTAGAAGGTGATTCGAATCCACTGGCCCTCGGAATGTCTGAAGCCCCTCACCCCATCCTCTCCCCTCACCCCCAAGGTGATTTTACGGGTATAAAAGGTCTTGTCACCCTCTTTTACGGGGCCACGGGTTGGAGAGACGTGAGTCCTCCGTGGTCGCCAGCAATAAACCCTGCAATTTGGCATACTTTTGTCTTGGTGTTGACTTTCTGTGCTCAGTCTGATACAACACTGGAAGCTCCGAGTTTATATTGGGATCTTAAGAGGAGAGGATCACCCAACTCATATGTATTAGAGTATATAAACCATGGCTGGACTTGGCTTTAAAAGTCTTATCTGAAATTCCTTGTGGAACAGAGTTTCATCAAAGCCAATCTAAAAGGCCTATATAAAAGTAACCATTCTTGCTGACTTTATGCAAATAATCAGACCAAGTATAAAACTAAAGTTTATTCCTAATTAGTTTTTACCAAAAATGACCACTGGAGAGAAAAATTTTGCTCCAAAGCTTATCATACATTTGTCATTGAATACTACTCTCATTAATTGTTTTTAAGTTTTTGCCTACATTTTAGACTAACCCTGCTTATTCCTATGAATCAAGTGGTGATCTTCTGCAGCTTGGAAAAAAAAAAGGGATGGGTAATGTAAAAGTGTAAACCAGCCTGCTAGTTCTGGGCAATTATATTGCAAATGCTGCCAGATAATGAAAGTGAGTAAGGTGTCCATAACCCAGAGGTTTCTTTGTTGGGGAAAATAAAACCAAGGACCCCCCAACGGTGAATTCTGTATCTTGGCAAGTAAAATTTTAGATGGAAATTACCTACCACACCCCACTTGTGGGAATTGCTGTCCTCACTCTATTATTTGCAATAGGGTTATACATGGTAGTATCTTCTAACTGAAATATTGGACAGAGTTTCCATTGCTTTAGTATTTGGCTTAATTATTATCCTGATAACAGGGATAATAGTTGACAAAAAGGAAGCATGAAAGTTTTACTATCACTGAGTCTGCTAGGACTTTTTTTTTTTTTTTTTTTTTGAGATGGAGGGTTGTGCTTGTTGCCCAGGCTGGAGTACAATGGTGCGATCTCAGCTAACCGCAACCTCTACCTTTCAGGTTCACCTGACTCTGCCTCTCAAGTACCTGGCATTACAGGCATGCACCACCACACCCAGCCAATTTTGTATTTTCAGTAGAGAAAGGGTTTCTCCATATTGGTCAGGCTGGTCTCAAACTCCAGACCTCAGGTGATCTGCCCACCTCGGCCTCTCAAAGCAGGGGGATTACAGGCATGAGCCATCATGCCCGGCCATCTGCTAGTACTTGTTATTGGGTTTAGTAATGTAGTTTTAAATGAAACATGCTGCTTTTGGATTAATACTTCTAGGAACATAGAGGAAAATTTACAGCTACTTAAAAATCAAATCAGCCAGGCACCATGGCTCACACCTGTAATCCCAACACTTTGGGAAGCTCAGGCAGGCACATCACCTAAGGTCGGGAGATCAAGACCAGCCTGGCCAACATGGCAAAACCCCATCTCTACTAAAAATACAGAAAGTTAGGCAAGCGTGGTGGCACACGCATGTAATCCCAGCTACTCTGGAGGCTGAGGCATGAGAATCACTAGAACCCAGGAGGCAGAGATTGCAGTGAGCAGAGATTGCACCATTGCACTCCAGCCTGGGCAACAAGAGACTCTATCTCAGAAAAGAAAAAAAAAATCCAGTCAAAATTATTGACAGGCTCAGGGAAAATGCCGGCTTTAGTGACGAGTGGCTAAGACCCCCTCTTTAACAAATTCCAGTCTTCTTTATGGAATTGGTTAACCCCTTTATTAAGCACTCTCTTGCTTATATGTCTTGTAGTGATATTTGGACCCCATATACTCAATACTACAACTTGAATTGTTTCTTCTTGCCTAAAAGCAATCAAACTCCAAATGGTGCTATAAACTGAACTGCACATGGACACACCATTCTTCCAAGTACCCTTAGATCGACCCCAGGAAGAGCCTTAGATGCTGTTCACCATTTGACA